AAAATCAAGAGATCAAAAAATGATCCGTTCGTGAATAGAAAATTTGTACCAGTAGAATGAACCGAAAGCAGATTTTGTTCAGTACGGCTATAGGAAAAATATTTAAGGGTTAGGCCAGAAATACAAGAAAATGACTCTCTCTTTCTAAATTATAAGAAAAAAAAAATGACAGCTGCAGCGATCTCTACGGTTATTAAATGGATAACAGATCATATAGAAATAAAAGAGTGCTTTACGGCATATAGTCTTAGAATCAGAGAAGCCACTGCAGCAATGAAAGGTGGGATGTCACTGACACAAATAAAGGCAATAGGAGGTTGAGATTCTAGAGCAGTATTATTATATTTGTAAGCAATAGCAATGACCCAAAATCATGCTTCACGAATTATAGAATTCTAAAGAAAAAAAAAACGATAAGAGAAAATAAAAAAAATAAAAAAAAAGAAAGAGAAGAGAAGAAATATATATAATAAGTTAGAAAAAAAAAAAAAAAAGAGAGAGAAAAGAAAAGAAGGGAAGAGAAACAAGTAGTAGGAAACAGGCAACTGTAAGATAAGTAAAAAAATAAAAAATAAAAATAAAAAAATAAACTTTAGCTGTACCAAATTTACATGCCCAAACTAACAATGCTCTTCAAAATCCCATTTGTTATTTTTCAGATTTTTTTAAATAAAATCAAGTACAAATAGGCTACATATAAACAAAATCACAAGGCAGCTTTTTGACACAAGATGATCAACCAAATATGTATCTTGTGTCATATTATGCAACTAGGAAAAACCAGTTTATGTATAAAACAATGAAAACAATAGTTAAGTATAAATATGGGGGTTGAGAGATGATTCTGCTTGCCTTTTTGCTTTGCTATCACCTGACATAGAAAGTATTTGGCTTCCAAACCCCCCAAAAAAAAAGAAAAGAAAAAATGTTTTTCTGAAGACATAAAGCACAAGAGATATTAAAGGCACAAGAGAAGTATCTTTCGTTAGTTCTTCTTGTAGACACAAAAAAGTAGGTAGCCTATTGAAGTAGGGATGACACAAAGTAGTGTCCAGGGTAAAGTGTTAGAAGGCACAAGGGAGTGTCTAGTATTATTTAGTTTTGAAGACACAAGGAGTGTCTAGTATCATCCAGTGTTTCTAGAGATACAAGGACTGCTTAGAAAAAAAAAAAAAAGAAAGAAAAAAGAAAGAGCACTTTAGTATACCAATATTTGTAAAATTATGATGCTCAGGAAGAGCTGTTGTAAACACGAGCAGCGAGGCATATCCCATTTGTTATTTTTCAGATTTTTTCAAATAAAATTGAGTGACAAAATATGGTTTCAAAATAACACTCCGGCACGTCTCTAAATAACGTGCGTCCCAAAAAAGTGCTTTGGAATAGGTTTTCTTAGTACCAAATTTGCTTCCAAAACACTTTTTTGTTTACTTAAAAAAGTTTACATTTGCTTCAAAATAACGCCCCGGCACGTACTCTAAATAACTCGCCTATACTCAAAATAATGTGCCAGGGTGCGTTATTTCACGACAATATGGTAATAAAAAATAAATGTTAATTCAAATTATAGCATCGGTTTGATTTAACTACAAACCAAATTAATTTTTGTTAAAATTAAGTACCAAAACAACTAAGAATGTTTTCCAATTTAATTTGATATTCTAACAAAAAAAATTCTTTTAA